TGGTTACCATCAAAGATGGTCAGGACTCTGTTAGCCTGAATCTTTACTTGGAAACCGGAGAATAAACCAGAGCAGATCAAAAATATAAATTTATAAGGTCACAGGCAAAAGTATATCAGGGCTGGGCTCTTCACAGACAAAAACCTCTCTCTAACACAAAAGTATCGTTCTAAAAGGAATTAGACAATCAGTAATTTACATAGATCATAGATTTGTTTCATCCACTGTATGTAGTTTGCCATTTTTTGAAACATCTGATGTCAGCATTTGACGACAGGATAAACGCCCATGAAAAACTTTCAGGAGCCAAGAGGGCCGATCAAAAAAAAATACCGTTCTCAGAAATATTGGAGGAGATTTGCCCGTTTTTTCTTCTTCTGCTGTGCTGAAGAGCGTCGATCCCGGTGCCAATTCTGACAACGTTTTCCATATGGATGATATCGGTCTGAATCTGATTTTGCGAAAGCTTTCTGGAAAGACAGCGCTGGCTGTTCACCGAACTATGCAAAAGAGAGCAGAGCGCTTGAAAACTGACACAAATCTGAGGGCCCACCATAAGCAGAGTAATGGTTGTTGGAGGGCTCATCTCATGAAAAAGCATTTCTAACAGAATAATTCCATGACTGTGAACCTCCCAAGAAGATTGGAGCAATAATAATAATCTGTGATGTGAGATAGAGGCAGTGTGTAGTCAATAAACTTACAACACAAACACAAACACACAACAGCACTGATTTAAAACTGAATTGTGACTTCTCATCTCAGCACATCGATGGGGATGTTTGGATTTCGGCCTCTTTTGAATCATTACGGCTACAATGTTCACTTTTTCCCTCCTGGTTTCTACCAATCCACTCCCCGGGAACACTCCAGACTTCCTCACTCATTCCCTTTCCCCCCCCCCGTTGCTCGTTGTGCACGTGTGTTTTTAACGGTTCTAGCCGTGAAATCTGACCATGGCCATTCTTGCCGTTTCAAAGGATGCTAGCAAAAAGCTACAACTATTAAGCTACCTGACATCTGCCCACCTCTGGAACAGTCCTAACACATCTGAGAAAGCCACGTTCATCTTAATGTGGAATGTGGAGCACACGGGCTTAAGTTTCAACTGTTAGAATTTGGCTATAATTACTCACTTTAGCATTGTATGCTATCACATGATCTGTGTAATTTACTGATTGTTTTATTTTCTTTTATAACTATATTTTGTCTTAAAGTGACCAGAGACTCTCTCCTCTCTTTTCCTTTCTCTCTCTTTCTTTTTCTGTTGCATTAGATCCACGTCGTTAGGTCAACACACACACTTTGTTACCATATTCCAATGCAATCTACATGAATTAGGACCTGGCCTGTTTAGGCCTAGAGGTAACTAGCCAATAGGACACCCAGATAACACCCAGATATCGGGGCTCTTTGCCTACTGAGACCCTGAAAGAGAGGTTTTTGTCTGTGAAGAGCCCAGATATAATTTGCCTGTGACCTAATAAATATCATTTTTATACTTTTGATCCACTCTGGTTTATTCTCAGGTTTCCAACTAAAGAATCAGGCTAACACAACGAAGACATTAATATTTGAAACTCAAATGCAAGCCTCTGGTAGGCTAGCCCGCGACTCGTCCGGGGGGGTGGCGTGACCAATCGCCCTTAATAAAGTGAGCAGAGGCCAGTTTATGAGATTTCAACCCCGAAGCAGCGGATTCCAAGTTCAGCTTGATCTCAGCAATAAGCCTGTGTCATTTAATAGGTGAAGCTTTTCTCAAATGTGCCGACAGGGTCGGGTTTGTGTCGCCATGACTCAGCAGAACGCAGAGTTGTGGGAACCGTCTCATAACGCTGTGCGGTGTGTTAGAATTTGGCTAGAATTACTCACTTTAGCATTGTATGCTATCCCATGATCTATGTAAATTACTGATTGTTTTTTTTTTCTTTTATAACTATATTTTGTGTTGAAGTCTCTGGCTGTAACCACAGACTCTCTCTTCTCTCTTCTCCTTTCTTTCTTTTTCTTTTTCTGTTGCATTAGATCCACGTCTTTACCTCAACACAAACACACACCATTTGTTACCACATTCCAATGCCATCTGCATGACTTAGGACCTGGCCTATTCATGCCCAGAGGTAACTGGCCATTAGGACTTGGTTGTGTCCAGTCCTCCTTTGAAGAAGCGGACCTAGCCAAGGAGATAATGCCCATCACACACAGATCTCAGGTTTCTAAGTAAAGAATCGGGTTAACAGGCGTATCCATCCATTTGCGCCTTGATATAAAAATGGTTAAATTTAGTGCCATATAAATAAACATATTGGTCTGTTTTTTCCTCCTCTGATTGCAACTTCTGGCTTCTTTTTGGAATAGTTTTATTTTGTTTTAATTCTATACATTTCAAATGGTTTCCTCACTTCATCTGGATCACAGTAGTTGAAATAATACCGCTGATAATAACACAGAATTCAATTTATACCAACAACAGTAGTTCAATGAAAAACTTTCGATGAAAACAATCAAAACATTTGAATGAGCTGAACCATTAAAGCTGAGGCAAACAGCTTAAAAAGTTCAAAATTCGTCATGTCGACTATTTCAAATAAGATAAACTCCCACGTCCCAGTGTGTGCTAATGCTTGGGGAGTGTAATGACCACCACATGCTGTCCATTCAAGTGTTTTGCTGCATTCTGGTTCCAGTCCGACTCAGAAAAGAGGGTCTGGATTTAGTGTTGTGTGCATCCAAAAATGCACTATTTAGAGCAACAAAACGTAGAATCTACCAGCTGATTGGGTGTCAGATTGCCTGCGGGCAGATCACTTGAGGGAATCTTTATAACTGCCTCATAACTCGAGCTTTTGTTGTTTCTGACAAAGATACAAAGGAACGCTATAGGGACAAACCAGAAAGGAAACCACTGGTTAGGGTGCACGGTCTATTTTTGAGTTTAGCCACATGTATCCTCAAATCCCCTCATGCATAATATAGCAACAGCCTACGGGCAGAAATTGTTAATGAGTTACGCTTTAAGCTGGCAGCATTCTTGACGACTTAAAAAACAGGAGGGTTTACTCAAGAGGCAGAAAATTGGCTAAATTCAGGGTTAAAACTGAAATGTGGAGATTGCCTATGCACATGACACCAGTTAAGGCAGAAGAATATGATGTGTTTGGGGTCTATCTGATTAATCTGTGCTGTTGTGACCTCCCTGAAAAGCAGATCATCTCAAAAACAAAATGGCCGCTTTCACATGAACTGCTGAGGATCTGACCACATTCTGACAGGAGACGTCCTCTCTCTCTCTTTTTTTCTTTGGCTCGCCAGTGTTGACTGAATGTGGAGAGAGTTTGGGGCTTTTAAAATGGCCCCAGATCAATTAAAGCAGCTTTTTTCCATTTTTGTTATGGAATAATAAGGAAAGATAACCCATCTACTGAAGCACAATAAGAATAAGGCCACTTCCCCTGGGACAGATGTGGCTTCATTTGGCTGTTTTTTGTGCGTTTTGTTGTCGGAGGGCGAGCTTAGCTTCTGTTTGATTTTCAATTTCTTCAAGAAACCATCCTTTTTGGGGACTTTGTTCCCTGGAATGATGTTTTCCTCTTTTTTTATAACTGTTACAGTTGTTCTTAATGGCCTGAGCTTCAGTCAGACACTAACCCGATATGCAGAAATATGCGTTTTATGGGTAAAGTTTTGAGTATTTAGATGTGGGGAATGCTTTCCATTCCCCTCCAAACGTGTTCCATCTCATCCAAGATGAGTACCTGATCCTGAAGGGTTCAGGGCAAATACAAATTGCTGTGCTGAGGCTAATTTTCAAAACCATTGAACAGACTGGGGAAAAATCCATTTAAAAACTTTGTTTTTTGAATTTACAACTTCTACAGGGTGCAACAAATCCATTTTTACTTTTATACTGACCTCTTCTCACTTTTATTGAGCAGCAGGCAGCAGCTGGAGGCGGTTACCGGCCCTTATGTTGCTATCGGCCCTTTAGACTTCATCTTTTCCAGTGAAGCCTCACAACTGGTCCGAATCAGTGGATCACCAGTAGAACAATCCGATGTCAAAGTCTATTAATGTCTGATTCAGCATGTGGTAAAAGCAACTTCAGACGCAGCGAGGGTCCCAAACCATGATGCTTTCATGAGGAAGTTACTGTTCAAAAGGCTGATTATTTTCCTGACTTCTATTTTAAACTGGCTCTATATGATTTGGGACTTTTTTTTAAACTTTATGAACTTAACAAGGTTTAATGATGATTAATTAGATTGTAATTGTCGTGAATTTGACTGTATTTGCAACTGCCTGAAGATAACATTTGTTGTGTTTTATCACTAAACAAGTCAAACATTTAAAGCATTTTTACAAGAGAATCTGGTATTTGCCCAAAACCTCTAGTATCCGTTTAAAAACCTACCACTAGACCATTTTCTATTACTTTCTATATTTTAGCTATAAAATGAATATCCATCTGAGTTTTTGTTTGTATGTTTTTAGCAAAATTTTGATTTATTCCTGTTTTCCCAACAAAATAAAATCCATTTATCAAATAACAGCATGTATTTGACAGACTGTTTACCTCAATCAGGTTGAAAGTCAAGAAAAATGAAGATAATCAGCAGCATAACAAGTGAGTGAAATAATATTTTCCAATAAACCATTTTGTTAATTATGCCATTCCTTGTCTGGACATTTTGGTTTTAATGAAATGTGTACATATAAATTCTTAATAGATGAATAGTCAACGGTTGTATATCCAGAAAATACATTATAAATACATTATGTAAAATCAAAATCCAAGAACCATTTGCTTATTTCTTTGTGTTATATATTTCTACTGTAGAAGACAACTCAACCATTAAATCTAACAGACAGGGAAAACACAACAACCCTTTCACTCAGTTAGAATTCACTTAATTCACTTAAGTGCTGTTGTTCTGTGAATGGAGGTCTCAGTTTCCCCCTTCTTTAGTTTCAGTTCATCCACCAGTTCTTCAGCATGTCTGTCAGAAAATTTTCTTGTCGTCCGTCTTCTCCTTTTGCGCCACCTCCGAACGGACGCTGCTCTTCATAACTCTCTGCAGAATCCAGGTGGCCAGGTGGATGGAAACGAACGCCCCGCCGGCAGCCAGCAGCCAGTTCCTCCTCAGCCAGCTCTGAGGCTTCATGTTGACTATTCTGAGGGCAAAAACAAAGATCTGTGACTGTCCCGGCATTATTCAGGCCATGCTTTAATATAAAGACCCATTTTTAAAAATGCTTGTATGGTCTGGACTGTGAATACAAACGGTGAAGATATTCTACAGTCAGACGATTCCATGTTATTCATTTCTATGAAACTATAAATCAAATAAGAGGCAACAGTCGCAGTGTGTTATTGTAAAAGATAATTTCAAGGTTTTTGGACATTTCATATTGATGGTAAAGTGGATGTGTGTGTCCGTCGCACACAGCAGGCAGAGTGCACACACCTGGGCTGTGTGTCACGTCAGCAAAGAGGAATTCAGAGCAGCTCAGAACAGCTCCATACATAAATAAGTGAATGTATCCATCACAGAAGCCGACTCACGTTATTACAGCGGAGAAAAACACAGATAGCTGTGTATTCATAGCCATGCCAACAAGCCCAAAACTCCAGTAATTCTGTGATATCACGCTTGATGATGTTTAATAGAGCCTGTTTGGTGCTCCATAGACAATAAAAGCATGTATTCATTCACAGCTTACTTGAATCTCTCTAAAATGAAATGCGACGATTGTTGATCAGACTATTCACCTCTGATGTAAATTTGTAAACTGGGTTATGACAGCATTTTTTTATGTGAGCATTCCTCAAATTACTTTAAATTATTTGTAACATATATCCATATCCACTGTTCAGTTTGTTAAACTTTTGTTAGTTGACCATATACATCGTGGATCAACCAAAACATCTAATAATAGGATGGAACGGACTCCTGACTGGTTCTTGAATGAATGGATGGATAATTTCATCCAGCATATAAAGCTTGTTTTAACAAAAATATGTTTTATAATTTTTGTTTTGATTTATGTCCTAGTGGCATAACACCACAAATAACTGACTGCAGCTGTTTTCTTTGGGCAGCATCTAGTGGACATAAGAGAAACTACACAAGAGCCCTGTTCTGGACTTTTACCATTAATGGATGATTAAGTGTACGCACACATGCAGGTGATGCACAGACAGTCCTACCTCAGTCTGAGTTACTTGGTCTTGGGAGGAGCAGCGGCAGGAGGAAGAGGAGGGGCAGCTGCAGGTGGTGAGACGAAGGCCACGATGCCGGGTTCAGGAATGTACTGCTCTCTGTTCTTCTGCAGGAGTGGATTGCCCTTTAGATTGTACCAGCCCAAGTGGATCAGACCCAGACTTGTACCCATCACAATCAAAACTTTGTAGTTCCTCCAGAACTGTCGCAGACCCATGATTGAAAGGCTCTGAGAAGATTTGTGAAAACAAACTTACTGTTAACTCTGTGGGCAAGTAGGAACCTTCCAGCTTACTGAATGTGAGCTATTTGAAAAGATTAATGAAAAATTACTGTGCGACCAAATATGTACACAAAAGTTAACTCACACAGGCGCTTACCCTAAACCCTGTAAATGTAATGGCATTTATACACATTTTAACATCTGTTGAAACACTAAATCTTTGTAGCTATTATCTGAGAAGGGAGTAACTGAAAGATGGGTTAGGGTTAGGTATGGAAATATCAGCAGCAAAGTAAAAACATGAAAGCAGAATAAGCACGTTATTGAAGAGGTCTGACGCATAATAAATCATGTTATAACCCAAAATAATAAGACCTTAAAGCAAACCTCGAGGCTTCGAACATCCCAAGTGACAGTTACCTAACCCGCTCACAGGGGAGGTTAAACAACTAGCAGTGATGCTAGGGGCTTTTTAGGGAGGCTTTCTGCCGTTCTCACTGCCTGACCACAAAGCCCAGTTGTAACAATTCAATTTAACCTTAAACAAAATGCCTTTGCTACTGCAAGGAAGCTTGTCTCACCTTCAGCAATCAGCTGCAGTTATTTCGCCGACCATGTTGTCATCCCACCAAATTAAGTAGCCCAAGAATATGCCTGATGACAATGACCCGCGCTGTTAGCGTTAAATAAAAGTACTGTCGCAGTGCTGCTTCAACTATCTCTCACAGTGTAGACGAGGGGACTTCTTTGTATGAAACCAGGCCAAATGTTTTTAGTGCATTTTGCTACAATAAAAACGTTGAATGTGTGTCAAATAACTTACAGGAGATTTGAGGCAAATATAGGGGCAACGATATTAGTCACGTGACTACAACAGACCGTATGTTTCCTTCTTCTTCTTCGTGATTTAATCGGCAGTTGACAAAAAACAAAAAATCATTTAATATTAGCGCCACTTACTGGTGCAGAAGGGCCCAAATGTCTATTTCATCCCATATTCAACTCATTTTTAGGAAATGGAGAGTGAAAAAACTAAAAATTAGTACATTTTTTAAAGCTGGCCAATGCAATGATGAAGACGAAGCAGCAGAAGAAAATTAAAATCCCGTGAAAATTTCGTTGCCCCTGTATTTCCTTCATATCTTTAGTAAGTTCTTTGACACACATTCAACGTTCTTATTTAAGCAAAGTGCACTAAAAATATTTTGCTTGGCTTCACTCAAAGAAGTTCCCTCGTCTACATTGTGACAGATATTTTAAACATCAGGCCGTGGTGGCAGTGTGTGCCATCTACTGGCCATTAGAGGAACTGCAAGTGAGGTAAAGGTGGCGTCAGCTACGTTTGAAAAAGGACTAAATAGTTCAATCCATTTGATATTTTTTTTACCACTTCAGTGAGCCAACCTCAATATGTGAAGTAATGTTAAAGGAAAGCATAAATTAGACAGAGTGGAATGGATGTGTTTGTTGGTAACCATGACAAGAAAGCCAAGATGGCGGGTGAGCGCTCTGCTAGCAAGATGTAGCGTGATGGAGTGTGGTGTTTGGTTACTTGGGGATTGTCAGGGTTCATTGAGTGAGAGGTTTGTGCAGGCATATTGAGAGGAAGAGACCAGAAGCGACTTCCGGTAGCCGGGGGGCATTTGAGCCCCTGTGTACACACACAACAACCGTGATCGCAGTGTATGTTATTGTTTGATTGAAAATGGGTTGGCGGCTGTTAGCCCCAACTCCCCGCTTGAGCCGAGGAGGTCCCCTCCCAAAGGCT